TTAGTGGGGTAGACAGCCAGGAAGTGTTATTTCAATGATAGTCTCCCTGTTGTGGACATTACTCTTGTCAGCTGACATGAACAAGCGCTTTTCATTTGACAAAAAAAGAGGAAAAACCAGTTTACACTACTGCCAGTATTGTATTGAAACTTCTTGCTACTGGCGTCTGACATACTTTCTTCAAATAAAAGAAAATGGTGAAATTCAATCTTTAAATGAATAATCATATAATATCACGGACATTTAAATATGCTCGAGGAGTGCGTTTTATTTGAAAAACTACAAACCACGAACCAGATATCGTACTTACACTACTAGGTATTACTCGGGACGTTTTAAGAATCAACACAAAAACAAGGAACTGGATGATCTCTCTATCTTATATGTTTGATTTGTTATACCAGCATTAATACATAACAAAATAATAAATAACGAAATATCAATATATCTCTAATTATACATAATCAATATACAATTTCACTTTATATATAATTACACTTCCATTGTTTTATTCTATGTGAAAAATATATATTAAATACCTTAAATTAACTATGACTGTTCCATGATGAATCATAAATTTAGACTAACAACTTCACATTTTAAACATGGATTGTAACATTACGATGTTTAGAAAATCTGTTATCGTAAACTGTCGAATGCTGCTTGGAAACCATTGACCTTTATCGTTAAAGTCCAGACCTCTTTATTGACTATACTAGTGCGTGTATAAAGACCGTTCATAAAACACAGTGGTATGCATTGCGTTGACAGTCAAACAGTGCATGTAAGTTCTGTATTAAATACCGGGATTTTGGAAATCTAATATATCAAACTCATCGTATCAAACCTAATATGCTAGCTTAATGTGGATATATTAATATCGACCATACGATCTACAACAGAGTTTGAAAGGTGAAATTAAAAACAAATCACCACTCTAGCTGTGTTTTGCCATAAAGGTATGCACTTAGATCTACACTTACTTAGTCCGTCTAAATCGTACATTATGTGAACATGAAGCGTTCTATCAGTTCCACTTTCCTACTGTACACGTTTCCTTACGAACTAGACACACTGATTTTTTTCTGCGCCACTTTGTAGATATATACAATTTTCATTTTGCTTGATGTCTCGTGTCGTATCCAAGTATTACATTTCATATCATAATTAAGTAATAGGTAACATGGATACACTAGGTCCAGAGACTATACAGGTCTTTAGCAGTTGGAAGTACACATGACAACAGATTTATGTGAACAGTTCTGTCCTGATGCATGTGTTAATTTCATATTATGAAAATAATTTCACAGTTGGTTATTTACAGATACACATTGTAACAGTTTAAACATCCAGTACATCCTGACAAACAGAGCTAATTTCATAACACACATAAATAAATTAATAAGCAGTTGGTTGTATTTTACACATGATTCTGATACTTTATATTAGGGATTGAATGTGACTGTTACAGCAAATAGTCACGTACAGAGAGACATCACGGAATGCCTGTCCGTAATATATTATGTTTGTGTATGAGCCATACGTCATATTTTATAATAATACCTGTTATCTCCTTATAAAGTTTGCAAGCACACCATATTAGGCCTAATATCTTTTGATATGTAGTATTTTCCTTCGGTTTATTCGTTGGGTTTAAAACGAATGTATTGGTGTTTTTTTTATTGTAAAATACATTCAGTAATCGAAACATTCTTTGTGAATGTACATCACACTCTGTGTACACCTGTGTATAAAACATTATACACGTGTACATGTAAAAGGTTGTGTGACTGTGTTTAGCACACCATAATATGATATGTCAGGCTGAAGAGATAGCTGTGTTAGTTCTATATTTGTATATCGGTGTATACCAGAACATAAATGGCTTAGATATACGTCAGCGGTACCAGAAAGCACGTGTATGCACATTTGAAATAAAGCGATATTAACAAGTCCATAATAAATCCTGTACACAAACTTGTATCATCGATGCATAGGTATATGTG